AAAAAAAAAAAAAAAAAAAAAAGGAGGAAAAAAAAATCCAAAATAAAAATCATGTCAAGTCTCATTCATTGGAAAGTGGCACATTTTCCCCTCTGGAAGTAGCTTTCCAAAAAGGAAATGACAGCCGGGGTGGGGGGAGGGAGGGATGAGGCTGCTAGTCTGCTGTGCCTCCATTCACCTAATTGCAAAACAGGGATGATTCATTTCACTGGCCCTGGGCAGCATCTAAAACAGTGGTTTTCAAACTTTTTAGATTCAAGGCACCCCACAGAAAACCAGCTTAGTTTTCACTTGTTTTTTCTTCACTATAGAAAAATAACAAAGCAATTATTCTGTTGCACAGAACTCAGGCTTATTCCACTGCGGGTGAGGGATCCTTCCCTACTAGAGCTCCCTTGCATCCTGTTTTGTCTTGCCTTCTTTTCTCCTTTTAATTTCACCTGGGCTGCCTCTTTGGTCAATGAGCCGCTTCCACAAATGGAAAGAAACTATACTGACAGTACCTGGATATCCCCGTCTCCCCTCCCCCCGTATAGCACTGTCTGCAATCCCTTGGCAGCGCAGTTCAGTTATACTTGGCCCCGGCAGTCCCCGTAGACTCAGATGAACCTTGTCATGCACAATTCATCTCCGTCTGTGCTTTAAGTGGGGCAGTTTCCCCCACGCTATTCACAGGCTCGCCAGCACCACTCCTTCAAACAGCGAAGGTGTTTCCCAAAGCTGCCCAGGCAGGGCTGAGGTGGCCTTTGCATAGGTTCCTGGCTAGAGGGTCTTGCCCCTCTGCTCAAGGTCAGGCTGATCCCCAAATTTAGGGCCAGGAACGAATTGTTTCATAGCAGCAGGCCGCTGGCTGCCACGGTTCCCCTGGTTTCTCTGCGGTAGGTTCGGGTGAGGCCTGTGTTGTGTGGATTTGTGGGGGGTGGGTTGGCAGAAGGCTGATCTTGCCTCAGGCAGAAGGGGTGAACTACATGCCCGCCGGAGGCCTCTTCCAGCCCTGCTTCTCTATGGCATTTTTACATGTGCATGCACTCCACCCGAGGTGAAACGAAACGGAGAAGAGTAGGAAAGCAAGCTGAAACCTGCTGCAAGGGCCAAGTCAGCCTGATCTGTGGTGCCAAGGGGTTGCTGCCGGAGGGGCCGGGGTGTGGAGGCGGGGCGGGGCGGTGTCCCAGGCCCCAGAGCAGGCTCCCGGGGGCGCCAGCCCGGCTGCTCGGTCCCGCCCCAGCCGTGCGAGCAGGCACGTCCCGCCGCGTCATCGCCCGCCCAGCATATAAGCAGCGGGCGCCACGCTGCGCGTCGCGGTACTGCAGCGGCGGAGGCACCAGCTATAGCAGCGGAGCCCATCGCGACCCGACCCGACCCGACCCGACCCGACTCGGTGAGGGGGGTGGCTTATACTCGCCGCGGCGCTGTTCCTCCTGGGGTGGGGGCGGGCTGCATAGGAGCCCCCGCGGCATGGATTTGGCGGGAAGGAGTGCTGGGGTCCGAATCCCCGTGGCCAGATGATTT